AGGGCCCTCTGCAGGGAGGCTGTCCCCAGCAGCATGCTTCAAGCACCCATCTGGTGTCCTTGTGCGTCTGATCTTGCCAGCCTTTCACAAGCCATTCCCTTGAATGACGACAAGCAGTCTTGATACGCTGGGTTAAAAATCTTTCAAATAGGGCTTGTTTATGAAGCAGCTTCAATTATCAGGGATTTCCAAACCGGCTTTCTTTCTGCTGGCATTGGCATCCGGAGCCGCCAGCCGCAGTGACAGCCGTGCTTCGGCGTTGCTGCTGGGCCTCGCAGTACTGGGGGTGTGCGGGGGGCTGCGTGTTCACAGCGTCGGGGATGAAAGCCACGGCAACACCTGCACTCCCTGTGTTTACACACTCCCCGATCTCACATGCTTTATTTGGTGGCTGTTATTCTGCGGCACGTTGTGAGTGGAAGTCATTACGGAGTGCATGTGCAGGGAGGACGTGGGTTTTCATGGCTCCCGTCCCCTCCAGGCTGCTGGGGAAACAGCTGGACTTGCTTCCTTGAGGGGCAGCTGTAGCTTTCATCAGGCCCCAGTGAGGGGCTTCCTGGCGACTGGGCGGAAGCAAACCTCAGCCAACAGCATGGGCAAAGTGAGAGAGGGAGAAGAAAGGCCACGGGAGAAGCTGGCCTCGAAGCAGAGATTGTGGCTCAGGGACTCGCAATTGTTTTAAGTTCAGACACTTTCTTTTTCTTTCTTTTTTTTTGAGACAGAGTGCTCTGTCACCAGGAGCCAGGCTGGAGTGCAGTGGCACAATATCGGCTCACTGCAACCTCCACCTCCCAGGTTCAAGCAATTCTCCTGCCTCAGCCTCCAGAGTAGGTGGGACCACAGGCACGCACCACCACGCCCAGCTAATTTTTGTATTTTAGTAGAGATGGGGTTTCACCATGTTGGCCAGGATGATCTTGATCTCTTGACCTCATGATCTACCCACCTCGGCCTCCCAAAGTGCTGGGATTACAGGTGTGAGCCACTGCGCCCAGCCAAGTTCACACATTTTCTAGAAGCAAGTGGCATTGGAAAGACTGGTCATATGACATGTCCTCTGGGTAACAATTGCAGGAAACTCAACTTAGGCAAGAGAAGAGATGTATATATTCACATCAGTAAAATGCCGAGGTTAGCTACAGGTACGGCTTGATCCAGGGCCCCAAACAATGTCTCTCGCCATCTTTCTGCTCTTGGGGTACACTGCATTCTCAGTTAGGCTCTCTTTGTGTGCAGGCCCCAGGCAACCCTGAGCTGCAGCCTCAGCAGAAATGAAGCTCATTTCCCTCCAGCAAGCCCTGGGGTGGCCTCTTGTAGACCTGGGTTGGATCAGCCTTGCCTCCTAAACAAATTCCTGTAGCCAGGAAGAGCCAGCGCTCAGATTGGTGACCTCATGCCCAGCCTTGTGGCCCTGGGGCAAATTAGTTCAGGAACCGATCATAATCCTGAACGCCATAATCCCAGATGTTAAAATCCTGAAAGGTCAAAAATCCCTAAAGTCTATAATTCTGAAACTCACAATGCTGAAAGATCAAAATCCCAAAAATATAATTCTGGAAAAAACTTGTTTAAATTATTTAAAAGATGTTTGTCTACATTTTGAAAAGGGGGTTTATTTGAGATATTAAAAATACCACAGAACACTTTGTAGGCCAACTTACACAATAAAATTGGCCATAATTTTATGAGTGCGAGCATAAACACTCAGCTACACTAACCGTCACACAGGTATTGCAATTTTGAGCAGATGAACCATCTTCATGAAGAAATAGGTCAAAAATGAAATGTATAAATGCATACTACTATGGTTGGTAATTGTGGGAACCTAGCTTTATAACTGTGGCCATCTGAAATACCATGACAGACAACCTAACTTTTTTTTTCAGAGACGGGGTCTCGCAGTGTTGCCCAGCCTGGCCTTGAACTCCTGGGCTCAAAGGATCCTCCCACCTCAGCACAACCTAAGTTTTTTGACGAGATTGACCAAAAAGTCCAGACGGGTCACCACCACATATGTAGTCATCTAGAGAGCTGAGCTCTCAAGAAATTTTATCCTTCTCAAATGCAGATGCATAAAGAGGGCATCCCATCATTTACAGAGCAAGTTTTAAACTTTCCATGTATGTGTGCAATGCTCACACACAGTCAGCATTGTGATAAGCACTTTGATGAAGTCACATTGCTGATGTGCAAGGCAGCAGAGGCACAGCCTGTCCCAGCCCTCAGAGAGAGACCAGTTCATCTTCTCTATTGGTTCTCTCCAGAACCCTGGCTGATTACACAGTGCCCACCAACACTGACAGCCGGACAGGGCAGGGCAGGGCTTCCCCACCCACCCTCTCAGACTCAGCCCTCTCCTCTGAAGACAGCTGCACAGACGTGTCCAAAAGAATGCTTCACCACGTTTCTAGGTGATCTTTCATCCAGTCAGGCTGACACATAAAATTAAGTCCACAAGTCCACCCATTACCAACTTGACACCCATAGGCAACTCCTTAAACCATATTTAGTTTCCAAGACAATAACAAGGTAATACTCCCGCCTAACATGAGGCAACTAGCCCGCACACCACTGAAAACATGCTAATCACTCAGAATTCGGCTTTCAGGATTTCGACACCTGGAATTAATCTTTTGAAATTGTGTTTCAGGATTTTAGACATTAGAAATTTAGACTTTAGAGATTTTGAGCTTTCGGCCGGGCGCGGTGGCTCATGCCTAAAATCCAAGCACTTTGGAGGCCAAGGCGGGCAGATCACCTGAGGTCAGGAGTTCATGACCAGCCTGGCCAACATGGTGAAACCCCATCTTTAAAAAAAAAAAATAGGATTTTGAGCTTTCGAGATTTCAGCACTTGGGATTATGACATTTGGGATGGGTCTTTCAGGACTACGATCCATACCTGGTAGTTCCAACCAAGCCACAGGGATGCGAGGGGGTCAGGGTGGCTCCCCAGAGGGAATCAGGAGAATGAAAATGTGTCTACAAGCCAAGGAGAACAGCGTGTGGGATTGGGGGCAGCCCCAGCTCTACCAAGGCCAGGTGCCTCATCTCCTTGTAAAGTATGAGGTTTTGCTGAGATTCATAACAACATTTAAGGACCAGCATCCCTCTGAGAATCTGATCCACCCACTCGACACCCAGGAGAGCAAACATTCTCACATGTAATCAACAGATTGTATCTAATTTCTGGGGCTCTCAGAAGCTGCGGGGTACCTGGTTCAGAATCCCTGGCCCAGACATTTTGCCAGATAGTTTCTGGGGGACAAAGTCACCCCAGTGGAGAATCACTCTCCTAAGGTTTTATATAGGCCGGATGCGGTGGCTCATGCCTGTAAACCCAGCACTTTGAGAGGCTGAAGAAGGCAGATTTCTTGAGCCCAGGAGTTCAAGACCAGCCTGGGCAACATAGTGAGACCCCGCCCCCCACCCCGCCTCTAAAAAAAAACATAGCTGGGTGTGGTGGTGCGCACCTGTAGTCCCAGCTACCCAGGATGCTGAGATGGCAGATCGATTGAGGCTGGGAGGTCAAGACTGCAGTGAGCCGTGATTGCGCCACTGCACCCCAACCTGAGCAGCAACGTGAGACCGTGCCTCAAAAAGAAAAAAAAGTTTTTAGATAAAGTAAGTGTTCCATTGCCCTAAGAAGAGGAGTGGGGATTAAACCATTGGAACTAGGGGTTTGAGAGATGAATTCCCTGGTGCTCCCAGTCTGAGAGTTGTGATTCATGGGTTCTGATTTGGACTTGTTGTCTTGGAGTGCCCTGCTCCTTTGGGTCCAGGGTTCCTTTGAGAAAGACAAAGTGAGAAAGCTGAGAACAACCAATCCCACCTCTCCAAGGAGGGGGGCAGTCAGGGAACCCGAAGTCCCAGGAAGGGTATCCAGGAATGGTGATTAAATTATAACAGCACTGAGTCCGTGCTGACCTCACACTAAGCTTGTCACGCACTTTATCTCATTAAATCTTCAACACTAGGGAACTATTAGCTCCGTTTTTTAGTGAGGAAACTGAGTCTGAGTCTTGGGGTCAGTGGCTCAAGCTCATGCAGCAAGTCCATAGTGGAGGTGAGAGTCTAATGCACGTCTGTGTGGCTCTAGAGAACATGTTCCCCTGAAGCTCATCCAAACAATGACCCCTCCTCCAGGGTGTCCCACCCCCAGGAGTGATGGAGGCTGAGAGCTGTCCTGAATCAGGGGAGCCGAGCGCATCCTTGAGGGGGGAGCCCTTCTGTCCCGCATCTCTCCCTGGTGACCTCCAAGTGTGGTATCCCAGAGCCCTGAGCAATGGCTCCCAATGGCTCCCCCCACATGTGAGAAATGATGCCCCCCTCGTCTGGGGTGATGAGAGTCCAGCCTGGGGTTTGCGCCCCATGACCATGTGCTTGTTCTTGTCTTAATTGCACCAAAAATGTAATATATAGAGGTAAGCAGGTGATGATACAGAGAGGCTGATGTCATTGAAAGAAGACTTTATTACTCGCACCTCCCAAGAAAAGGGGGGCACGCCACGCCTTGCAGGGCCACCTGGGGAGGCCCCAGCGTCGGTCAGGAGGCACCAGGAGTGAGGGGAGAGCATGTCCCAGGGTGCAGACAAGTCACGGTGAGCATAGGACCGCAAAGTTTGAGTCATTTTGGCAGGCTCTGGCCTGCAGGGATGGTCCCTAGTTGCCTGGCACCCAGCCCTGGGGTGATTTAGGGCAGGGAAAATACTGGTTTGGGTGTGAGAGTCAGATGAAGGAGGCGGTTGGGTAAACAGGCTCTGGAGAGGTTGGGTTTGCAAGCATGTTGCTTGCTGGCTCTAGGAGTTAGTCCCTGGGAGGAACAGTCTCTCCAGGATTAGCAAGGCCCCAGGATGTTGAAGCGTCATAAAATACAGGAAATAAAAACCTGTATTTTTTATTATTATTATTATATTATTAATTATTAATAATATTTATTATATAATATATATAATAATTATTATTATATAATAATTATTAATATTGTTTATTTCCTTATAGGGTGTTTTTCCTGAATGTGCCGTTTGAGTCCATCATGGAGCGGCTGACTCTGAGAAGAACTGATCCAGTCACGGGGGAAAGGTTTGTGCTGTGTCCCTGGTGGTTGGCAATCTGTGGGCTGCCAGGGGCCAGACCCAACTGACTGACCAATGCCATGGTGGAACCATTGCCACGATGACACTGGTGACCGCTGACGGACGATTATAGAAATGGAATTTGTCCAGCTGACTGTTCTGCGCAGTATCTGTTGACCCTCTTTGCCTGGAAGAATTAACCAGGAAATTTGTGTCTGAGGCTCTAAAGCAACACATTGGTGAAATGTTCACCCACTCTGTCCTGGGGTCGACAGCTTAATCCCAGCATGCGAAACAACAGCCTTGGATGGGCGTCCCCTGTACGTTCCACTGCCCTTTCCTCCAGCCATGATACATCCCAGCGGTGGTGGCTGTACGAACACATCCCCATGGGCACAAATTGCCTTTGAGGCTTTTCATAGTTACAGGAGGTAGATTCTGAGTTTGATTCTGCAGTCTGACCAGGTACCATCACTGCATTCATGTTGAAATGGGATGGAAAACCCCACAGTCACTGAGGCAGGTGTTGCCATCTCCTCTGACAATCAGGGTCACATTTCTTGGTAGGGACTCAGGAGTGGGGTGGGGTGGGGTAAGGCAGGAAGGAAATGCAGGGATTTTTCTAAAATGTGGACCTGATTTGTGTGCACACAAATGTTAGGTGGCAATGGTGGCCAGGACACCCTAACTTGGTCCACAATAGAATAGAGGGTTGGGCCGGGTGCGGTGTCTCACACCTGTAATCCCAGCACTTTGGGAGGCCAAGGTGGGCAGATCACCTAAAGTCCAGAGTTCAAGACCAGCCTGGCTAACATGGTGAAACCCTGTTTCTACTAAAAATACAAAAAATTAGCCAAGTGTGGGGGTGCGTGCCTGTAATCCCAGCAACTCAGGAGGCCGAGGCAGGAGAATCGCTTAAACCTGGGATATAAAGGGTGCAGTGAGCCGAGATCATGCCATTGCACTCCAGCTTGGGCAACAAGAGTGAAACTCCATCTCAAAAAAAAAAGTAGAGGGTCGCTTTCTCCCCTGCCTTGGGGCCAGGCCATGGGTCACCTGTTTTCCTTCCTCCCTTGCAGGTACCACCTCATGTACAAGCCACCTCCCACCATGGAGATCCAGGCTCGTCTCCTGCAGAACCCGAAGGACTCTGAAGAGCGGGTCAAGCTGAAAATGGATCTGTTCTACAGGAACGCGGCTGACTTGGAGCAGCTGTACGAGTCGGCCATCACCCTCAATGGGGACCAGGACCCATACACAGTCTTCGAATATATCGAGAGCGGGATCATCAATCCCCTGCCCAAGAAAATCCCCTAACGGGTTCGGAGCCAGGAGTGCCCCCCAGGGAAATGAGTTCATCCCCTACCCCCCACCTCTGGAAAGCTCCCCTAAAAAGCCAATAAAGAATGCTGGGTACCGTCTCCTGCATCCTGAAGGTGAAGTGGCTGGAAGCTGGCCTTAGGTAAGGGCCTGGGGACACAGGACAGGTGAAGCCCAGAATGGTGAGAAAGTAGAGTGCAGGCTGGGTCTCTGGAGTCGGACCTAGGACAAGTCATGGCTCCAGCACCAACGCATGGTGCGTCCTTGGAGTCCCAACCCTCAGAGGTAAATCCTTAGTGATTACATCATTTATTCAGTGATAATAAATGCCTTAGTCCAGGCAGAGGTCTGCGTGGACAGCCTGCTCTCGGGGGTTGCCTGCACCATGACTCCTCTTCCTCCTCCACCAACCAGCTCTCCTCAGGGCAGCTGCAACCGCTTTGTGCTAAGCCAGGCGAATACAGCGCCTTGAGCAGGGCCCTTCCAGCCAGAGGCTCCGCGTGCTGCTGTGTGACCTTGGGCAAGTTACTAAACCCGTCTGGGTCCTTGTAAAGTAAGACAAACCCTCCTAGGTCTGCTGTGAGGGGAAATGAGTTGATGCCTACAAAGACTGGGCACAGGGCATGGGGCCTTCCAAATGCTCCCTAAGTGTCATGACCCATCTCTTCCAACTCACTGCTGTGAGATCAGAGCTGTTTTTTTTTTTTTTGAGACAGAGTTTCGCTCTTGTTGCTCAGCCTGGAGTGCAGTGGCGGGATCTTGGCTCACCACAACCTCCACCTCCCGGGTTCAAGCGATTCTCCTGCCTCTGCCTCCCGCGTAGTTGGGATTACAGGCATCTGCCACCATGCCCGGCTAATTTTTTGTATTTTTAGTAGAGACAGGGTTTTGCCATGTTGGGCAGGCTGGTCTCGAACTCCTGACCTCAGGTGATCCTCCCACCTCGGCCTCCCAAAGTGCTGGGATTACAGGCGTGAGCCAGCGCCCAGCTGTCAGTGCTGTTTTTAATCTCTAGAAGAGGAAATGGGGCCTGAGCGAAGTCAAATAGCGTGTCTATGGCTGTATGTGGTGAGTGGGAGAGGGAGAACAGGACCCAGGCCCTCACCACGGTCCCCGCACTCCGCCTGATCATGGGTGCGGGCAGATGCTCCCACTGTCGCCCTCGGGTTGCCGTGAGGGCAGGGGGCGTCCGGGCTCACGGGGTCCCTGCTTTCACCCCCCGGGGCCAGCTGCAGGACGCCTGCACCTGTGGGAGCGCCGCTGGGACCACTGTCGCCAGCGCTGGTCCCCGCCCCCTCCCGCAGGCGCCCGGGGTGAGCTCCACCGCAGACGCAGACAAGGGACGGCGCCCCTGGGGCTGTCAGACGCAGACAAGGGACGGCGCCCCTGGGGCTGTCAGGGGCCGGAGCCGGGCCAACAGGCTCAGAGTTGTCGATCGCTCCCTGGGAAGCCACGCGAGCCCGCTCCTCCCGCCACCGTGGAAGCGCCGTGCGCACGGGAGGATGCGGGGACTCAGGACACTCTCCTACGGGGGCCTTCGGCTGCGGCCTAGTAGGCGGCCCCACTGGAGGGATTCACATCCAGTTGCAGCCCCCGCGGCGGTGGTCTGGGGCTTTCTGGGCCAGGGAGCCCCACTCTTGTGGCTGGAGGGCAAACATCTTGTTAATTTCCAGATCGGCCTCAGTGCTCGAGGTCAGCCCCGAGGTCTCATTAACGTTGGCTTACAGGAGAACACCTCGCCTCTGTCGCTGTCATCATTCAGGTAGCTCCTTTACAACCTTTCATCATAAGCTGTCACTCAGCTCCCAGGGCCCCACCCTTACTTGTCTGCCTCTGTGTGTTCATGCCCTTCCCTGCTCCCTGGCAGGGGGAAGTCCACTTGTACCAGAGGCGCAGTGGTACCTGATGTGGGCATATCTGCCTGCCCATGCCCTGCAGCCCCAGCGGGTGTTTTTGCTGTGGACCCTGTACCTGGGCTACCGCTTATGAGACCAGGATTACACCTGATCAGACCTGGGCCAAGCCCATTCTCTCTCCCAGGAGTCTGGAATGAGGATGGAGGGCCGCTGGTCACTCTCTTCTTGTGGCTTGCAGGAAGGAGAGGACATTTGTGGCCTGTCTGGCGCATGTGCAGCACAGCAGAGCAATGAGAGTTAATCTGGAGAAAACAGAGTGAAGCAGGCACGTGCCTACCTCCATTTTTTGAGACAGAATCTTGCTGTATCACCCAGGCTAAAGGGCAGTGGCGTGAGCTCACTGCAATCTCTACCTCCTGGGTTCAAGCGATTCTCCTGCCTCAGGCTCCTGAGTAGCTGGGACTACAGGCGTTTGAGACCAGCCTGGCCAACATGGCTAAATCCCATCTTTACCAAAAATCAGCCGAGTGTGGTGGTGGGCACCTGTAGTCCCAGCTACTCAGGAGGCTGAGGCAGGAGAATCGCTTGAACCCGGGAGGTGGAGGTTGCAGTGAGCCGAGATCGTGCCACTGCACTCCAGCCTGAGCGACAGAGTGAGACTCTATCTCAAAAAAAATTTTTTTCCTTATATGAAACCCCAAACAAGACAACAGGTGCACCTCACGTGGGAAGTAAACATGGCATCCCCACTTTAATAAACCCTTAACTTTCACTCACTAGAGATGATCACAGTCAAAAGTTTTGTGTCAGTTGCTGTGGATGGGTGGATGGAGGTGCAGTACAATCCCATAAACGCTCATGGCAGTGGATCGTGTCTACTCCTTTGTAATTTACTTTGTTCAAGGTAAGAACATGCTATGGTTTGGATCTGTGTCCACACCCAAATCTCATATTCAGCTGTAATCCCCAGAGTTGGAGGTGGGGCCTGGTGGGATGTGACTGGGTCATGCTGGGGGCCAGATTTCTCATGAATGGCTTAGTACCATCCCCTTGCTACTGTCCTCACGACAGTGAGTGAGTTCTCTTGAGATCTGGTCATTTAAAACTGTCATTTTAAATGCACTTTTTTTTCCTTTTTAAGATAGAGTCTCACCCTGTCACCCAGGCTGGAGGGCAGTGGCACAATCTTGGTTCACTACAACCTCCACCTCCCAGGTTCAAACGATTCTCCTGCCTCAGCCTCCCAAGTAGCTGGGATTATAGGTGCCCACCACCACGCCCAGCTAATTTTTGTATTTTTGGTAGAGATGAGGTTTCACCATGTTGGCCAGGCTGGTCTCGAACGCCTGACCTTAGATGATCTTCCCTCCTTGGCCTCCCAAGTGCTGGGATTACAGGCATGAGGCACCATGCCTGGCCTCAGGTATTGCTTTATAGCAGGGGAAAAAAGGCCTAAATGATCCACACCCTGAACACATAAAGTACACCATCCATTGTTGCTACCCAGAGGCACAATATTGCACAGCAAGTCTCTGAAACGATTCATTTTCACAACTGAAACTTTATCCTCCTCAAACAGCACCCCTCCAGTGCCTCCTCCCCACCACCCCCTCCCCTCCAGGCCCTGGCAACCACCATTCTTTTCTCTGCTTCTATGAGTTTGACTATTTTTAGAAACCCCCTATATGTGGAATAATGCTGTATTTGTCCCCGTCTGGCTTATTTCATTTAGCATAACGTCCTCCAGGTGCGTCCATATTGTAGCATATGACAAGATTTCCTTTTCTTTCAGGCTAACAATTCATTGTATGCATAGACTGCATTTTCTTTGTCATTTTCGTTGATACATGGACATTTAGGTTGTTTCCACATTCTGGCTCTTGTAAATAATGCTGCAAGAGACTTGATTTCAACTCTTTCAGATAACTTACCTTGTTATTCCGCCATGTGGTATAGTGTAGTCAACTTTTAATTTCAATACATATAGAAGTGGCCAGGCGTGGTGGCTCACGCCTGTAATCCTGTCGCTTTGAGGGGCCTAAGTGGGTGGACCACCTAAGGTCAGGAGTTTGCGAGCAGCTTGGCCAACGTGGTGAAACCCTGTCTCTACTAAAAATGCAAAAAATAAACCAGGCATGGTGGTGGACACCTGTAGTCCCAGCTACTCAGGAGCCTGAGGCAGGAGAATCGCTTGAACCCAGGAGGTAGAGATTGCAGTGAGCTGAGATCACGCCACTGCCCTCTAGCCTGCGTGATAGAGCAAGATTCTGTCTCGAAAAATATATATATTTTAAAAATACATATAGAAGTCCTCCATTTTCAGGTTTGTTTTTTCCCTCTGAGATAGGGTCTTGCTCTGTCACTCAGGCTGGAGTGCAGTGGCGTGATCTCAGCTCACTGCTCTCTTGACCTCCCCTGGCTCAGTCCATCCTTCCACCTCAGCCTCCCAAGTAGCTGGGGCTGCAGGCATGCGCCACCACACCTGGCTACTTTTTGTACTTTTTGAAGAAACAGGGTTTTGCCGTGTTGCCCAAGCTGGTCTCAAACTTCTGGGCTCAAGCAAACCTCTCGCCTCAACCTCTCAAAGTGCTGGGATTATAAGCATGAGCCCCCATGACCAGCCCATTTTGAGTTTTAATCTATATGCTTTCTTCCATTTAACGTGCTTCTTCCAGGCAGTGATCCCGTGGTGAAAGCTCTGGTCTGATTGCCATGTTAATCCCTGTGATTGACAGGACTTAAAAGGAGAGGAACTGTGCTACCCCCATTGACAAAAAGAGTCAAACTCTGTAAAATATTTTAAGAGATTTATTTTACTTTTATTTATTATTATTATTATTATTATTATTTAAAACAGAGTCTTACTCTGTCGCCAGGCTGGAGTGCAATGACATGATCTTGGCTCACTGCAGCCTCTGCTTCCCGGGTTCAAGTGATTCTCCTGCCTCAGCCTCCTGCGTAGTTGGGACTACAGGCGCGCGCCACCACGCCCGGCTAATTTTTGTATTTTTAGTAGAGATGGGATTTCACCATGTTGGCCAGGATGGCCTCGATCTCCTGACCTCATGATCTGCCTGCCTCAGCCTCCCAAAGTGCTGGGATTACAGGCGCGAGCCATCATGCCTGGCCAAGAGATTGATTCTTAGCCAAATATGAGAGACTATGGCCTGTGGCTCTTAGTTGATTATCTCCTGGATCTGGAAAGGAGGGAAGGAAAACAAAGAGGGAAGGGGGATTCTCTGTAGAACGTGGATTTTTCCC